GTTTTACATTCATAGGTCAAAGTTCTTTAAGGTTTATAAAGAAAACAGTTAAATATAAAAACAACTGCATGACAAAAATAAACACAGAAATAAATATATATTCAATTTTTCTACTAGATTACTATCTAATAAAAACAAGTTATTGTTGGAAAATGTTTTTATTATTTCTGTAAATTTGAACACATCGAACGTGCATGTGTGTGAGTGTGTGTGTTAAAGCAGGGAGTACAGAGTGAGGGTACACATTTTGCCCTCCTTGTGCCCCCTCCATCACAGCATCTGCTGGCTGTGCACTGGGCTCAGAAAGGGTGGGGGAGGGGGAGGTGATGAGGAGAGAAAAGCAGTGGTTTCTATTCATGTCATGCTGCCTTTCATGGGAGGAAGATGGATTTAACTCTGTCATTTCTTCATTCTGTCTCCTCCTAACCTTTCAGGTCAGATTGCAGGGGACCGTTGGAGAGACGCTGTCACGTGACCCCCGGTACCAAATGGTCTTCCGGCAGTGGTTTTCAGTAAGGACTGGAACAAAACAAGACGCTGCCACCTCTCTCAGAAATGCAGAAGACAACGTACTACGACAACTCTCCAACGCTTTTTGGTGGCTACTCTTCGTACCAGGTGCAGGGAGCCGGAGCGGCCTCTGCCAATGGCTTTGGGGGCTACGATGCCCCGGTCCCAGTGTCCCACCACCAGCCTGCCTTCCAGTCGGCGACCCATCTGGATGTGGATTCGTACCAGCACTCCGCCTGTTCCTTGCAGTCTCTGGGCAGTAGTGGTGGCCACCACCAGCAGCAGCAGCAGCTAGCCAAGACCAAGGAGCTGAATGGCAACTGCATGAGGCCCAGCCTGCCCCCTGAGCACCACTCTGCCTCCCAGGTGTCCCCTCCACTGCCCCCAAACCCCAGCAACGGTAACGCTGCAGCCCCGCAGCCAGGGGGCAGTGCTGGGTCCTCTGCAGTCTCCAAGTCAGGCCTCAATAAGTCATCCAATTCCTCCTCTTCTTCATCATCTTCCACGTCGTCCTCCTCTTCACTGCCACCCAACCCAACTCTGGCAAAGCAGATCTTTCCCTGGATGAAAGAGTGTCGACAAACCACCAAGCAGAAAAACTGTTCTCCCAGCAACACATCTGGCAATGGTGTGTTCCTTTACACACGTTGTTGTGTGTCTCTTTGCTCTGGTTGTCTCCATCACATCAACCATCTCTTCATCTGTTTCTTCTGTCCTCTCTACACTCTGTCTCCTCTGGGTCTCCGCCCTCGTTAGCGTCCCTCTTCTCACTGCTGCCTTCTCTTTATCATCACCACATCCTTCTTTCCACACCTTTCTTATCAACACCCTCTTTCTGCACTCAGGTCTCTGGAGAATTTCACATGTTTCCACAGAGTAGTTCATTAGAAAACATATTGAAAACAATGAAGTGACCACATGAAACTATAGTTTCATTTCAGTTTGTAGGAGCTTAGCTTAGTTGTGTTGAAATTAAAGGTTCAGCAGAACCTAGAAGATATTTCATTCATCACCTTTCCTTAATTTAGACATAAATTATCAAATTAGTTTTTGCCAGTTTGGTCAGAGTACACAATATCTGTAAAACTGACAGAACTCTAGGTGTCTGATATCTGAAAGGCTTTACTTCCAGTCAGAATATGTTGATAATCATAAACATGTCTGAAAATAATAAATTGAAGACTGCAGAAAATAATGTTTATGTTTCACAAGAGCAGAATGACACTGCTCTAAAAAGTCTCACAGCTAATACAGTGAGAATATTTGGTTGGTCTGGTCAACAATCTTTAATTATTGTAAACATTTAAATTACTGTTTATCAGATCTCCTGATGCTAAACTATTAAACAAAGAAAAATGTACAATTGCTGCAAAAACGCAGTGTGAATTACAGAATGCTGAATATTTTTGATGGATTTTGCTTAAGAGGCTGAAACTGAAACGTTAAAATAGGCAAAATGTGTAAATCAGCAGATTAAAGTAAAATCAACATGAAAATAGCTTACAACTAAAACTAGCTAAATCTGTAGCAAAAACCTAAGACTAGTAAGAACAATAACTAAAAGCTAAAAGATTCAAAATTATAGCTTAAAGCTAAAATTAGGAAATGGGTAAATGCTAAAAAGTTAAAAGCAAAAATCAACATATTGTCCCTAACAACTAAAAGCTAAACAGTAACTAAAATTAACAACGCCATAGCTAAAAGCTAAGACAAGCAAAATGTAGCTAAAAGCTAAAATTAGGAAATACTGGGTTAATGCTAAAATGAGCAAGCTTGTATACTAAACATAACAAACTAAAGAACTTCAAACACAATGGGAAGAATAAAAAAATAGGATATTGAGAATGCTGGCTCAGCTTTTATACAGCAACTTAATTTAATTTATTTTATTAAAAAAACTATGAAAATAACACTAAACAAAATGTAGGATGAGATAGACTGGATTAGTTTAACATCATTGGGCAAAGATACAAGCGAAGTGAAAAAATCTGACTGGACACTAAATTACAGCTGAGACAGAATCAGATTTACATAACAGGTCTTGTAAATTATTTTGTATCAAATCTAAATTAATGTGATAGTTTGTCGTTTCATGTCAGCAAATAAATGTATTTAGCAGAAACATAAATTATCTGATATTTGATCGAACAAGACCCAAAAGCAGCCACATGCTTTTTTGTTTTATTTTGATTTTATTTTACAAAACAGAGGAAGAGAAGTTGAACTTTGTAAAAAAAAAAAAGTGTCATAACTCACCAACCATAACTGACAATCAAATCAACAAGATCTAGATTTAAAACCATACTACTACACTTTCATTTTTTCTATCCTTACTCTAGAAGTTCTTTAACTCCTCATACCCCACATAGCCCATTTGTTAACATTTTTTTTTATCTTCAGTTTGCACCTCAATGAAGATATTAGCAGTGTAGCAGAAGTCTGTTTCCTACAGATAAATACAAAAAACATTTAGAGTAGAAAACATTAACAGCTGGTGAAAACGGCCAATAAATTTGAAAGAAAACAGGTTTTGGGCCAAAATGATCAAAGATGAACATGTTCCTGCTGCATTTTCACATAATGATCACAGAGAAGCCTTTTTGTAATATAATAAATAATAACTGTACAAATTTCAAAATCCTTTTTTAGCTGCAAAAAAAAAATAAATAAATAAACATTTCCAAATGAGTTTACTGGTTACCCAAATCCGATTTAGAAAGGAATTAGGTCAACCAAAAAAAAAAAAAAAGTTAACAAAACATAAAAGAAGTTTAAGGAAGGACTGCCTGCTTAAACTTTAACCTTTTTGAAAAAAAAAAAAAAATTCTTGTTTTTATTAGATGGGTTGAGTAAATCTGAAGCTGAGTGTAGAGAAACGGACAAAGTGCTTTATGTGGTTCAGTCATTGTCCTGATGCATCTCAATCATTTGTTTCAACATGTATGACACGTTTCATTTCACATTCAACCAACAAGATCACATAGATTCTTTTCTTCTTTCTTAATTTTCTTTAGTAAAACAGTTTTTAGAACAGGTGGAAAGGATTTACTTTGTAATTTGCACTCTAAAAGGTGAAATGTTAGATTTAGCTCCTTTTGTTGCATTAACTGTTTTAGTTTAACTTGGATGCTTTAAGGTAAAAAAAGAAAAGGCTTATTAAAAAAATTATCTGCATCAAATAGTCCATGGACGACAATGGAGGCAAAACATTTGTAAGTCTCCTAAAACCACATGAAGCAGAGTTGAGTAAAGTCTGTTTAAAGTTGCATCTCCTGGTATCAAAATATGGAGGGAATCTAACATTTAAAGTAAAAGGGTGATAGTTGGTTTAATGTCTTTTATTATTTTTTACACACACACACACACACAAAAAAAAACTGCTTACCCTGACTGTTAAAAATGTTAAAATCATCAGAAAATATATGTCAGTTTTCTTTTCTTTATGTGAAGCCTTGCTAGTGCACAGATCTTCTTAAATCATTGAAATGACCTAAAGCCAAACCAAATCCAGCAGTGGACAGCTAGACATGAACATTTTGATAGATCTTAATTAAAATAGAAAATACTCCTCTTTTAAATAAATTTATTTATATTTACCAGCTACATGACTTKTGTCCAATACTCTGGACCCACAACCCATTTAATAAAATCATCTCAATGTGAGCAACACTCATTAATGTTCGGTCTTTTGTGCTGAAATGCCTCAGAGTTATAGTCCAGTTCTGACAGGGTTTAGCAGCACAGTGAGATGAACAAGGTGAGGAACTGGACTGTTCTTGGCAAGCTGACTGAACTCAGAGCAGATCCTTGTGCTGCAGCTGCTGTTGCTGTGGGGGCTTTGTCTCTCCAGCCAAGATGCAATTTAGGTGTTGTCGGCCAGCACGGGGGCCTTTGTCTCTTAATAACTGCCACTGTTATGAAGTGTTGACAACTAATATCGGGATAATTTAGGCAGCTTGCCCAGACCCCACCCCACTCCACTTTATTAAAAACCTGAATGCTTTCAATTTCCTTCAGCATGCAGCCCAGTTAGAGTACAACACTTCTGCCTCTTTAACGTCTAAGTTTTACTAAAACTGTTCACATTAATTCTTAAGTACTGAAGCATCCTTATTACTTTTCAAAGTTTGTCTTCAGTATCTGCGCATACAGCCCATGATTGTTATACACCAAAAGGTTTGGCTTCATGGGGAATAAAACTATGGTTTTTAGTATCAGTAAGTCATGTAACATAGACTCAATAAGATAAAGAACAGCACGAGACAGTAAACAAGTTTAAAAATATTGAAGTTTATGTATCTAAACTGGTGTGTTTTTTAGGCATTTTTCATAACTGCAGTTTAAGTCTTATGATCTTTTACAGTTTGCCAAGACCAAATTTTAAATGATCTAATACTATTTCACAAACAAACTCTTCTTATTCCTTCAGTTTGGTGCATAAACAAAAACAAAAAACAGTTTATTCACTTATTACTGCTTTATGACTTMTGATCTTCTCTCTACCCTCCAGTCAATTCACAGCCAGAGACTGCAATTATATTCTTGCTCAAATTATTCTCTTCAAAACTGAAAGTGTACATTTTTATAATCTAATCATATTTCCTATACAACACTGTGTTTGCAGAGCAACTGCTTGTGTGAGGATTACATTTCAGTTTGCATTATTGTCAGGCTCTTAGAGTACAGAAACAGTCCATGTGAGCCGACCATGTTGATTTTACTGAACCACTGGTAGCAGGTTTAACATTTTTTAGACTTTAGTTGCCTTTGCACTACTTAAACAGTTAATTTATCAACATGTAATCATTTTATTTTAGTGTAGGTTTGTACAAAATATTATGATGGAACTGAAATGAAACTGTTATGAAATGTTCTAATTATAATTTCATTTTTAATATATGTTTTTTGTGTGTGTCCCTGCAAAATATTTTGTACCATCATGTTCTCAGATGTAAAGTTTTCTCTGTTTTCGTGCCATCTCATGAGAGTTTTCTTCTCTTTGCTCAGCATCAGCAGGAAATGAGAGCGGCAGCAGCGGAGAAAAGAGTCCAACTGGAGGCTCTTCAGTGTCATCTAAGCGAGCTCGCACGGCCTACACCAGTGCTCAGCTGGTCGAGCTGGAGAAGGAGTTTCACTTCAACCGGTACCTGTGCCGCCCTCGGCGTGTGGAAATGGCCAACTTGCTCAACTTGTCTGAACGCCAGATCAAGATCTGGTTTCAAAACCGCCGCATGAAGTACAAAAAGGACCAGAAGTTGAAGGGCTTGAGCTCCAGCTCTGGAGGGCCATCGCCAACAGGCTCCCCTCCTTTGCCCATGCAGTCTTCTGCCAGCTTCCTGAACTCGATGCATCCGATGGGAGGGGGAGCGGGAGGAGGGGTGCCTGCCTACGACACCCCTTCTCCACCATCTTTTGGAAAGCTCCATCAGGGAGTGTCTTATTCCATGTCCACTGCCTATTCCAATGTTCCAATGAAGGGCTGCCCCCCACAAAAGTATGGTGCCCCAGATCCAGACTATGGTGACCCCCACCATAACTTAGTGCAGTCTAACAATGCTGGCTATGGGACACCTACTAACATGCAAGCCAGTCCGGTCTACGTTGGGGGTGGCAGCTACGTGGAACCCATGCCTGTCTCGGGTCCCTCTATGTACGGACTAAATCACCTTGGTCCCACGCCACCCCACCACCAAACCATGGACTACAATGTCGGCGGGTCCATGTCGACCACCAACCAGCACCATGTGGGTGGAGGGGGCCCCCAGGGTCCCTGTGATCCACCCACACACCCGACTTACACTGAGCTGTCGGCGCACCACACCTCAACTCAGGGCAGAATCCAAGAAGCACCCAAGCTCACCCACCTGTAGCAGGTTTGGAACAAAGTAAAAATGTAGGAACTAGTGAAGACTAAACAACATGACATGACTCACTAACAGACTAACTATTCGTGGGGACTCTGCTGCCGCAACGGGACAGCAGGAAAGACAAAGCAAGACAGGCAAAAGCCATCCAGTGGTTTGTCATATGTTACAATCAAATAAGAWCAATTTTCAGTCACCGCTGTTATTTTACTGCCATCAAAGTGTCAAAAGATTTGGTCTTTATTGCACTGAGAGTTGCTTTTTACTGAAAGAGGAAAACATCTCAACAGCTGCCGAAAAATCTAAGCTACTTTTAATGTAATGAGCTACTTTATCTTACTCTCTGCTACCATCAAAGTATTTAACATTTTTCCTTCATCCTCCAAAGCCTCACCATCTGAGTGTATTTAGTCTGTGTTGGGGCATTGAGGCTTGTGGGAGGCACTGAAATCAGTCAGTCTCCCACACTGGGTTCTATATTTAGTTGTACCCTTGTTCAGAAACTAAGCAAGTATTGTTTGTTATTAAAAGTCTTGAAAAAAGAAAATCAATCTAAAATTCTGGGAAATTGACTTTGTATTTACACCATAAAACTAATTATTTGTGGCAAATAATGAAATCTTTGATCCATGCATTTACAACAGGTTTTGTGGGTCATGGAGTAAATTGCACCGGCAGTAGAGCTATCATGTAGTTTAAAAGCAACATCGAGAAACTATAATGACCTTTTTATAAATACTGTATGGCTTAAAATTGTCATTTGATGCCAAAATTTTCCCCTAAGACACACTTAAATGCAACTCTCCCGCACGGTAGATGGAATAGTTGAGATTTTAATGGGCAGTTAACGAGGTGGTTAGATTTATTATGCTGAGTTCTCCCCCCCTGCAGGCAACACATGTTGTTGTCAGCAGAGTTGAGCTATGTGGAGTGCTCTGCCTCTCCATCAGCTGGAGCGAAAGGCGGAGCAGGAGTATGTAGCTGGAGCTGGCAGCACCTATCTCCCTTTGTGGCCCCTGTTTTATGAAGCACATCAAAACTACTGGACGGCCTTTCATTCACTGTCTCTTTCTGCTTCCTGCAGTACCTGTCCCTGTCTGTCTAGACTGAATCATTACTAACCCAATCTCTCCCCATTCCCTCACCCTTGCAACACACATAAACACACACTCGCACAACCACACACACACATACACACACATACACACACACACACACACACACACCCTTTCAGCTCACCGTTGTAACAGGGTTTAGGAAAATATGAGCTCAAAAGCTAAACTAACTTTGAGAGGCATACGAACACGCTACACTACTTTATCAGTCATGCCTACACACACATACAGTAACACTAAGCTAACTTCCACTCACTGGCGTGCGTCCACAACTAGAATCTGCCAGCTGCTGACATCCACAAACAAACATGAGTGAGCGTGGAAGATACATTTTTAGTGTCCTTATTTTGGCACATCGTTGAAAACAGGGTAAATAATAAGAGTTGTGAGAAGTTTTTATTTATGTTTGAGTAAATCATTGACAACCCCCTTGTCCTTTCTCCTAAGCCCCGCCCCTTTCCCTACTTTAGAGGATGCCGATGCATAAAGTTCACATTTTCTATAGTTTTTTTTATTTTTTATTTTTGGTTTTGTTCCCACTTGTCTTGACTTTTAACGTGAAAACAGGGTATATATTTGAACTAAAAAAAATGCATGTCCCAGAAATCCAAGCWGATGTGTACAACATTTCTTTTTTAAAACAACTGGATTTGTTTGTTCGTTCTTTCAGTGAGGGCATTTTTTGGGATAACTCAAGTCAAACTGTTCCACCCAGAGTCCAGAACAAGAACTCTGATCCCAATTTCACTGATGTTCAAGAAGTAAATCCATGAGGTTGTTTTAAAAAGGTCATATTTTACACAAACGCTTCGTACACCTGGGCATCATTGATGCACTTAGAGTTTACATTTTGATGGTTAAAGGTTGAAAGATAATAATAAAATCCTATTTTGAAGACGGAAGGCCTTCCAATCAAAGCGTCTTTCGCCAATGTGTGTTCAGATGAACATTCATATATAAATATTTATTTGTTATAGCCAGTTTAAAAAGATTTTCTGTTTTGTATTAATATTATTTATCCTTCATGTATTTATATTGAGAAAAAAAAGACTGTACTTTTTTAGTATTTACCTGTTAAGAAAAGAAAAAAAAACATTGTGTTTCCTCTTGTCCATTGTATTGAAATTACTTTTTTAGTTCTTGTATTTTAGAAGAAAATAAGTAGCTTTTGTTACTATTACGACCCTTGTACATAAATGTCTTGACATGTACAGGGAAAAGACAAGTGCTGGGAATTGGTAACCCACACAATAGTCAGAAAATAGAGACAAACTAYTAGCTGGAGAAATGAACAAGTCCTTTGGAGAAAAGGAATTTCTTTTTTGTCCTTTGTAGTTCTTTTTTTTCATTGTCAAGAGAATTGTCTGTCAAACAATTCTTTAATAAAAGTTTATGTTATTCAGAGCGATCGTCAGTTTTTCTTGAAGATGCTCGAGATCAAAACCAGACGTTCACGGAGCACAGCTATTCACAAAAAATCTGAACAAATGGTGACAAAATATATAAAYTTTCAAAACAAAACACAAACACATTTTACTCTTAGCAACAGTGGTAAGAATTTGGTGATATCAACACCGGGTCACGGTATGATAGTATTGCGATACTGGTAAAATGATAAATCGCCATCTTTTTCTCCAAAAGGTTCTAATTTAAAAACCCCAGCATAAACAGTTCACCATTATATGCATTTGGATTAAAAACAATTTATTTCTATGCAATCAAAAGAACACTGAACATCAAGAAATGCATTTGTATTGCTCATTTCTTCATCCATAAAGCCTAAATTAAAAACTATCAGGAAAGGAAATATTGCAATGCTGTATCAATATTTTCTTAGTGGACAACATAATTTGTTATGGCTAATTACACAGGCAATCATTTTTTTATCTGTATTTGACCAAAACAACCCAACAATGGAGGCAAGAACAGGTGGACTTTCTTCTAAAAGGCAGATATGATCAAACTTTGTAGCTGTTTTGGAGAATCCTCAAGACAAATCATGTCACCACAATACAAAATTACGTAGATCAACTTTTTTTTATTTAAAATGAGTCTTTGTATACACTCCTTATTTAGCACTTATACTCGGACATTTATTGATCCAAATTACTTAAATTGCTTGGACGGTTGGTGGTTCCTACAGGTGGACCAGAACAAGAAGCACAATGTGTGGGATCCTACAGGAATCAATTTAACTTGAACAATTACTGTCAGCGTTATTTATCCAAAGAAGAAGTTTACAAGACTCTTTGTTAAAAGCCTTATTATGTTTCTCAACAAACAAGAGTCTAATCAGGTGTCTCTACTGCTTCTGCTGTTTGTTTGTTGTTGTTGTTGTTTTTTTTTTTGGGGGGGGGGGTGCATATTAAAAATATATTTTTTAGCTATATTTTGCTTGATTCCTGGGATTTTACAACTAATCTGACAACTGTAAAACACATTAAAATTATTTTAGATAATACATTTTAGGCTGATTTAGTGACACGTGTCAATGCTGCTAAACAAAGAAAGAAAAAAACATTAGGAATCTTAGAAGAGCAAGACACTGACTCACATCCATAAATTTCTGTTCTAAATCAGCACCTCTTGTAAAAACTCTCATCTGATCCTTCATTCAGACCGCGTGATGCTGTTAGGTCTGTGTTCCCGCCTCTCCTCACCCACCCCCAGAAAAAAAAAGGAACCCTCAGAGGCCCGCGGCTGCTTCACGTGATTTTTGACTCCCACCCCACCCCTCTTTGGCCCCTTTTCCCCTTCTGTTTCATCATCTCAGAAGCCTGAGAGCAGCAGAAAACTTGGAACATAAATCAGGATGCCATAAATAACGGCCGTACTTCCCTTTACATCTCCTCTGGACTAACAGACAATAAAAACACCAATAAGCAGAGATTGGTTCTAATTTATTGCCTCATAAAAGCAGATGGAGAGCTCGGTTGGTTTCCACACTACAGCTGAGAACAGGACGCTTACCAACCAGGTCCTCTTAAAACACAAATGTTTTATCTTCTTCTTTTTGTTTTACAAGAAACACTTTGTTTTTTACTACACTACTGACACAGTTATCTGTCCAGTGTGACCAAATATTATCAGATAATAACACATTTTAATTAGAGGTATATATCACTAAC